CTGGAAAGCTGAATCAATGCCAAGTATCCTGCCAACGCCTTGCTTCGCAACCTTTGCGCGCTTTACCAGACCCTTCCCAGCACTCCTCCCCGCTTTCTTCATCGCTCGCTTTTTTTTGAGTTCCTCCCTTGCCAAACGAGCAAGCACTCGCTTTTTCTTATCCAACACCTTCTGCCTCGCGCGCTCCTCCTTCTGCAGCTCTTTATTTTTTGCCGCCGCCCGTGCTGCCTCCTCATTCTTCTTTCTAATCTGAACGAGGTTCCGAACTGTCAAGCAAGCGGCGGGTGCCCCACATCCAAGAACCTTCTTTGTGCTCTTAGCCCCACTCACAGTAGGCGCAGGCTTTATTCCCCGCGGTATAGAACTCACTGTTTGGTTCTCCCTGAGAAACCTCGATATCGCTTCAATGGAAGCACTGGGCCGCGACTCATTCCCTACAATCCGCTTGATGTCTTCAAACGTTCGCGCATCGCTGCCACGAAGGCAGACGCTGGTCAACCGATTTGCCGGTCCTCCATTAGTAATGCCCTGGACCTGCTCTTCGACTTTCTGTACTTCCCCTTTTCGTTCCCTCATTCTGTTTGCGAAACGATAATCTACAGGCCACATGCCAGTGTTAATAAATGAATCGCGTACGTTCTGAGCAGTAATTGCCGCGTGTCCCGCGACCGCCAGTTTTATCTTGAATCCAGTCGCGTGCACATTTGTGACGGCCATTCCCATGAGATCATCCCTGGTTTTTCTCACTGCCCTTTGGAACGTTTGTTGATTTCGTCGTCACAAGGCTGCAAGAAATGGGTGGTGTTCGCTGGCAACACAAGCACCTCAATGTTGCGCTTCTGCGCCTCCTCCACCCATTCGATGCCATTGCGAGAGGAGTGTCCATCAAGAAAGAGCGCTACTGCTACGTCTCGATGGACGATCTGCCGCACATATTTATCAAAATGCTCGATAAACATTGGAAGCGTCTGCTTCTCGATAGATCCATTTTGAGTGCACCGAAGCACAAATTCGCTTGGCAACCACCCCGATTCTGCCAGCCAGTGTGGAGCCCCATTATCATGTTTAAAAAAGGTTCGCGGTAGCGGTTTGATCCAATCTTCTATTATATATTTCCCCGCGGCAATGCAGAAAAGTGGTGCCATATGTCCACTGGCAGAAGCTGCGAGCACCGCCGTGATGTGTTTCCAGGAACCCCTTTGCACTGACTTAAATCCACCGTGGTGAGACCTTGCGTTAGTGAAGGTTTTTATGCGGCGACCAAACTCCCCGTCTACGTGCGTTTCGTCCATATTCCATAGTCTTTTCGGATCGTTAAAAATTCCTGGATGCCTTCTTTCGACATCAGCCATACATTTGACAAAAGTGTTGACATGTTCAAAATTTTCCGCACCAAGCTTTACAGCATCTTTGTTTTCTGCTTTGCGATAGTTTATATCACGATTCAGGGCTCTATATGTACGTATTGCAGCATCAGAGGGAGTGGAGTTCTTGTATCCAGGCCTACCATCAGCTGCCAATTTTTGTAAAGTGGCTTTCATTGTGTTCTTGTCGACCGAAAACCCATGCAAAGCGGCACTTTTTATTTTATCGTTGAGCATTACAGCCTCTTCAGGTGTCCATACTGTCTTTTTACCAGGCCGATTGTTAGCAGGGTCAAGCAGCTTTGCAAGGGACTGGTGGTCTTTTGTGTTAATACTTGTTGCAATGCGTCCTGCAGTTCCTTTTGAAATTCCGCAAATGTCGGCAACATGGCGGACAGAATGCTTCTTGCGGATCACTTCGGCTGCTTTTTTCTTCTCTCCGCTAAATCTTGGTCACGTACCTGTCTACGGACCGCCAGAAGCGTTTGACGCCGCATCGAGAGAGGCATCTCGAGGCAATCCCGCGGTTGATGGCGGTCAATCTATCGATTTCTACCACTCCCTTTTTATTTGAAGAGTCCTATCACGGATCGACCCGCCTTTTTTCGAAAGCAGTGTAATTCAAGATGTTCCTCAACATGATACGAAGCACTTGGCGCGCTTTGGTTGGGTCTCAAGTGCCAGAAGGACGCTTGGCATAGGTAAATAATAACGCTGTCCCAAAATAAACCCCGCCCCAAATTAAGCCCCCGTGGAAGGGTATCTGCGTAAAAAGATATCATATCGAAAAAGGCTTTACTGTTTCATAATTCCGTTCTGTTTGGCGAAATGCCGCGTCTTTGCGCATATGGATTTTTTTCGAAGTGCAATTAGCTATTCTTGAAAAACTACCCCTTCTGCGCTGTCTTAAGTATTTTTTATAATAGTCAATATGTAGCCGGAAGACCAAATGTATACGAACCCGTTCTGGGACATCGCAAGACACGTGCTACAAAATAAGAAAAATTTATTTTTGTTCGCTTGTGCCCAGATATGGGCACTATACATAGGGGAAAGAACCCAGGGAACGCGGTTCCCATGATATGTCTTATTCGAAATCTACAAAATTTCCGCAAATGCGGGTGTTGAATAACGCATATATAGCACCCGGGAGAATTGGGTTGTCAATAAGGCCAATGCACGCCCAGGGCTGGAAACCCTTGAATTTCCGTTAATTTCCGGTCGGGTGCAGTTATGGTTTATTTGAGCCCGGCCGCACGTAGCCGTTCCCCCTCCCTCCCTCCCCCCCTTCATAATGGCAGTAGCGTAATTACGTTTACTTTTTGGATTTGCATACATATGCGTCCGCTTTTTCCTCTCGGAGTCTTTCTTTGCTAAGAACGCCCCAATATCGCACATTACAGAGCCCACTGCTGCGCTAAAGAAAGGCGGCCCCTTCCTCGACCAGTTTGGATTACCAATCTCTCGGCAAACTTTCGCGCCTCTCCGTTGGTTTCGATGTCATTGCGATGACTAATCACCCCTCCTTGAAAAGATTTAAAATCACGGTCGCTTGTCAATCCCGTCGGCTTCGTGGCAGCCTTTGCAATCCAAAACTATTTCCTCTCCCATTCTATTATCTCTTTTAAACAGAACAATTCCAGAACCCCCACTCTACCCTGCATCCCTCGCCTCTCACATCTCTTACCGAACCAATTACTCACTCTAGTACCGCTCCTCAGCATACACCCCCCGTAATAATGTACATCTCCACTCTCCAAGGCTCAACCCCTACCAAAATCCTCCCTCCCCAAACTAAACACACGGCATATAAAAGGCAGAACCCGGCCAGCCAAAACAAAACCCCATCGCACACACATCTCTACCAGTGCCAAACTACCAAGCACTCCACACTCAACACAAACACTAGTAACTTCTGCGGCTCAGGAATTTCACAATGAGGTCCTTACGCTGCCTCGCCGTTTTCTGCATATTTGCGAGCGTTTACGCAGCCACTTTGCCATCCGCTTACACCACAGACGGCGTTAAAGACTTGCAGAGGTCTGCTTTTCCGGCGCTACAGCCTGATTTTCCAGAGCGGGAGAGTAATTCTTCCGATTTCTCGGAAGAAGAGTCTGATCTTTTGGGGGAACACTTTGATGATTTGGTGGAAGACTCTGCTATTTCGGAGGACTTGGGCGAGGAGGAGATGTCCGCTGATATTCCGGAGGAGGAGTCCGCTGATATTCCGGAGGAGGAGTCCGACCCTACCAAGGAGGGGTCTGTCATTCCGGTAGAGGACATTGATCACTTTGATGATTTGGTGGAAGACTCTGCTATTTCGGAGGACTTGGGCGAGGAGGAGATGTCCGCTGATATTCCGGAGGAGGAGTCCGCTGATATTCCGGAGGAGGAGTCCGACCCTACCAAGGAGGGGTCTGTCATTCCGGTAGAGGACATTGATGCGTCGGGGGAAGACCTCGCGATTCCAGAGGAGGACTTTGAAGTTCCAGACGGGACGTCTGAAATTTCGGAGTCAGAAAATTCGCAAGAAGACTACTACGATCCGGAACACGAGTTTGATGATTGGGAAGAGTTTGATGATTGGGAAGAGTTTGACACAGACGAGTCTGAGGCGGATGATGGGCCTGCTACTGAGGGGGAAAGGACCGATTTTTTAGAGGAGCCTGAATCTCCGGTGGCATTCCCGGAAGATTTGGAAGGGAGCGAAACGACGGACAGGATGCATATTACCCCACACGATCTCACCGGTGACACAAACGGGAACACTGCTTCCCTACAGAACAAGTCCTACTTTGGCTCTATTGCTAATGCTCTTCGTGCTGCATACGCGGGAGGACGCCCCGACGACAGGCGCAAGAATAAGAAAGATCGCGTGAACCCTAAGCGAACGAAGCCTACCAAGCCCAGGGTCAAGCGCACAAAGCCGAGACCCGGTCGCAAGCCAAAGAAGTCGCGCACTCGCACTCCCCCGCGTAAGAGACCCCGCAACCCCAAGAAACCACGCACTGGCACTCCCCCGCGTAAGAGACCCCGCAACCCCAAGAAACCACGCACTCGCACTCCCCCGCGTAAGAGACCCCGCAACCCTAAGAAGCCACGCACTCGCGGCCCCCCGCGTAAGAGGCCGCGCAACCCAAAGAAACCACGCACTCGCACTCCCCCGCGTAAGAGGCCGCGCAACCCCAAGAAACCACGCACTCGCACTCCCCCGCGTAAGAGGCCGCGCAACCCCAAGAAGCCACGCACTCGCACTCCCCCGCGTAAGAGGCCGCGCAACCCCAAGAAGCCACGCACTCGCACTCCCCCGCGTAAGAGGCCGCGCAACCCCAAGAAGCCACGCACTCGCACTCCCCCGCGTAAGAGGCCGCGCAACCCCAAGAAGCCACGCACTCGCACTCCCCCGCGTAAGAGACCCCGCAACCCTAAGAAGCCACGCACTCGCGGCCCCCCGCGTAAGAGGCCGCGCAACCCCAAGAAGCCACGCACTCGCACTCCCCCGCGTAAGAGACCGCGCAACCCTAAGAAGCCACGCACTCGCGCCCCCCCGCGTAAGAGGCCGCGCAACCCAAAGAAACCACGCACTCGCACTCCCCCGCGTAAGAGGCCGCGCAACCCAAAGAAACCACGCACTCGCACTCCCCCGCGTAAGAGACCCCGCAACCCCAAGAAGCCACGCACTGGCACTCCCCCGCGTAAGAGGCCGCGCAACCCAAAGAAGCCACGGACTCGCACTCCCCCGCGTAAGAGGCCGCGCAACCCAAAGAAACCACGCACTCGCACTCCCCCGCGTAAGAGGCCGCGCAACCCAAAGAAGCCGCGCACTCGCAGCCCCCCGCGTAAGAGGCCGCGCAACCCAAAGAAGCCCCGCTCCGGCGGTCGCAACCCCAGGTCCAAGCCTTCGAGGCCTCCGACCTATACATTTTCTGGTCAATCAGAAACGTCAGGAGCCCCCCCTGGGATGCCATCCGAGTGCTCTTGCGCTCAGGTCCCCAGCCCCTCAAGCACGTGTTATACGATGACAGACTTCGACACAAAAGCTTGCAGATCGCGTAAATGCGAGCCGAAGTATGAGTGTGTAACGAGCGAAGCCTCGAGACAGGTCGTGCAGGCACTGAACGACACGGACGGCCAGCTGAACGTGGCGCAGAGCACGCGACAGGAAGCTTCGACGCTTTGCCGACTCAAGAAGATCAGTACCCGGTTGGTGCACAATCGCTTGAAGGCAGGTTTCTGCCATGAAGAGAAGGTGGATTCCTGGGCGTACTCCCCGTACACAACGGCCTAGAGCACTACTCGAGCAGTGGTGTTCATGATGGACTCCAACCAATCTCCACGTAGCGTAGTATCTCTGAAGATTCTGAAATGGTAATCGATATGCAATCACAATAAAAGGAAAGGACTTTGGACTAGCCATCATTGTTCTTGACATCTTGCAAATTAATTCTCCACACGCCATCTCCATGAGGGCCCGACCTTTGTCGATCGACACAGGTAACTAACATTGCGTACATTCGATTAAGGCCTGTAGCATACATCACGAAAGATTCAGGGCGGTTCGGCGGTTGAAGACCATTGTTCTCTGGGAGACTGAAACATGGAAAGACAATACCTCGCACGGAGAGGACGACGCTGTGTGCCAGATAGACCCGACTCGACGATCTCCGATCTGCTCACCGAAGACACCTGTCCAAATAATCGAGATGTGCCATTCCAAAATCGCGATTCACGTTGTCCAGCAATGTCCTTTGCTCAGCGGGCGCGCCAGGGCTTTGACATGTTCAGGTGAATTCGGGCTGCACTTTGTACTAGGAGACGATGTCTCTATAGTCTTGTAATGAAAGAACCGACCTTAGGAGGCCTGCCACGGCCGGTTACGCACCGAAGCCGCAGGAGCCGGAGTCACTGCACTGACGTACCCTGCGTGGCCACGTCGTACAGCTATTGCTCGACAGGGAGGACGGTGAACTGGACGTGAAAACAGTCTGGAAACCGCAGGAGCGGAGCAGAAGAACGAGTGACGGCCCCTTGTTCGTACGACGTCAGTCCACACTGTGGGAGCTATAATTCTGAATTGGCTCCTCAGTCCCTCACGAAACATGAACGCTTCTTGGCAGCAGAGTGCGGATAAGCATGTACAGAAAATACATACAATTTGCAATATTTGACATTTGTGGTGGATCGGTATTGGCAGATTTGTCTTCGCGATAATAGTGAGAGCTTACGCAAACCGGATTCTGCAGTAATCTCCAGAACTTGCTAGGTGCAAGATCTCTACGCTACACTACAGTATGGCCACCAAGGATGTTCTTAGTGATTATATCCTCAGTAATTTCTCAGCTACGGCTGGCAACGCAGGAATCTTCTAGGTGTACGACGATTAGAGTTTACCGCAGAATTTGGCTACTGTTGATCAACATAAAAGTGCCGACTACTCGCTACAAGCGAGAAGCGGACCCATCAACAGAAATTCAATGACTAGAATCAAACACTTGCCTCTTATCCAGAAATTGTCAAACGGAAAACCTCCCTGTTACTACATATATGATATGATCAACACCGGCAGCAATCCTTCCATTCAAGCAAACCGCACGACCAGCCGTCGACAAGGAGGACTATGGTGCTGTTGTCTTTGTGTGGCTTCAATTCTTCCTCCACCTCTTTTCTCCACATCAAACGCCCAAGTCAATAACTATCAATGTACGAGGATGCGTCCTTGGAAGCGATCTGCGATGTAAAGATTCATGAGAGATATGAGAGACATCAGGGCCTTACTAACACACAAGATGTTCAACAGAAATTCACAATTTGTTTAACACCAATAAATACATTCACAAGCACCGCGCCCTATCGAAGGGGACGACGGTAAGCTTCCAGGGCTATCGTTTCTATATATTATATTGTATCACGTGTACACTTCTTTGACGTTTTCTCAAGCCATTTCATCCCCGGTTGTGGGTGCGTTAGCAGCTGCTACACTTGCTACCCCACCTAGAGAGCTGTCCTTAACAACAAATATTGCTAGCACCACAACGCCTACAACCCCAAGGCACACCAACCCGATCGTACCTCCAATGTTACCTCCCTTCTCTTCCGAATCCTCGACACTCGCTGTCCTCAAGTCCAAAAGTTGTGGGCTCATCAGCATTCCGGTCCAAAGAATGTCTCTAAATCCTTGATCTTGAAGGGCGTACACAATTCTTTGAGACATGACGTAGTCCATGTAGGACCCTGCTGCCAGATCCACAGACGCCGGTTTCATGTATGCCACCACTGCAAATATCACAGATCCTCGATATAGCTCCGCTGCTTTCGCTGTTGCCGATGGCGATGGGCTGCCCGTTTCATTCACGCTTCCAAACTCGTCGGGCTCAACAATCGTCACCAGCGAAAACTGTCCACTGTAAACAGCTGGTCCATCCTCAACTCGGGTGACGTACCATTGCCTCGCATTCGATTGCGTATTCGCGGCACTGAAATTGATAAACCTCTCCAACACCCTCTCCGTCAGCCCACAACTATTCGTTACGTTCGGGCCGGCCACCTGAATTTGCATCGACACCCTTTGATAATTGTTTGTGTGGTTGAGCTCTCGCATGTCATGGACCAGGCCGTAATCTGCACACAGAAACAAGGGAACATATTCTTCGCTCGGCACCGGCGACCAGACTGCCACTCCCTCTGGCGTTCCCAGTATCTGCGCTTCCGGAGATGATCCTGGGTCTTCTTCGTCAGTCGGTGTCACAGGATTGGGAATGTCGACTTCAGATGACGGAGCAACGGGAGTCGGTGGGTCGGAAGATAAATCAGGCGAGTCGTCAACATCTGCAGGTCGGCTCGGAGAAACTGGTGAAGCCGAGATGGAAACCTGCGCTGCATCTGGTGATACGCTCGGTCCTATTGGGTTGAAACTCGTTGATGGAATAGATGTCCTCGTGGGTAGCATTGTGACCATACTTAACGTAGGCCTTGCTGTTATCGTGGGTAGTATGCTGTTGATACTCGAGGAAGGTATGGGTGTCTCGGTCGGTACGATTTCGGTTCCGCTTGGTAAAGGCGTAGGGTTCCCGGTTGCAAGGGTTTCGGAAACACTTGCAGAAGGGATCGGTGTTTGAGTGGGTAGGTTTTCATCGAAACTTGATGAAGGCGCTGGTTTTGGTGTTGGCGTTGGTGTTGGCGTTGGTGTTGGCGTTGGCGTTGGTATTGGTGTTGGTGTCCTGATCGGTGGGGCTTCATTGACACTTGATGAAGGAGTAGGCGTCCTTGTCGGCGAGAATTCGTTCACACTTGATAGGGGCGTTGGGGTCTCGGTCGGTACAATTGCAACAACGCTTGATGACGGCAGTGGTTCCCCAGACGATGACAGTAGTGGGCTACCAGTAAACAACGGTAGCGGAGTCCGTGATGCCTCCACAGCGCTGACACTTGTCGACTGCCTTGGTGTCTCTGGTGGCTCTCGCTGAGCAGAAGTGACGGAGACGCCGGGCGCCAAAGCAGCAGATATGGAAATCTCAACCTCCGAAGGGCTTCCCGTCGCTCCTCCAGGTGTCGAGCTCGAATCCGGATTGGGACTTGAAATCAAACTTGTCCCGGGTACCACCGACGGTGTCGCCGACGGCACCACCACTATGACGTTCGAAGTTGAAGAGCTCGGGCTTGTTTGTGAAATTGATTCCCCAGGTCTTCTTGACCCACGAGGTATCGCGCTAGTCGTCACCGTTTCTTCTAAAACTGTGACTGTGACAGTAGGGCTGACAAATGGCGATGCACTGGTCGTTGCTAATGACTCCAAATTGCTAGGCACCAGAGAGGTAGCTAGACCATCCAGGCCATCCAGGCCATCCAGACCATCCGATTCTTCACTGGAAGGTAGCAGATCATCGCTATATTCAGCAGTCACACTGGGAGCTGTAATCCATGGCTCTGATGCAGAAGGAAACCCAAATACTCCCTCAAACCCACGCGGGCTGTGTTCTGGCATCACCTCAGGCGAAACCGTCATTTCAAAAACTTCAGGACTCACACCATTTGTGAGCTCCGCTGACGCTCCCGGGCGCGGTGATCTTGGTAACGATACGCTGGCCCGAGGCCTCTCTGCCGGACTCACCGTGAGTGAAGGCCTAAAGCTGCTGCTTGGAGACAACGTCGGCAAAGGCATAGGACCGACCGGAGACACTTCCAGTTGCACCAGGCTCGACGGTTGTGGTCCTGTTGCAATGCTTGGACTTGGTCTTGGAAGTGCCGTATCCACTAAAGGCGATGCCAAGCCCTCACCGGAGAAAGGGGCCATGTCCGTCGGCTTGATCTCCATAGGTTCATCAGACGGTGGCTTCTCATCCCGGCCGTCGCCGTTGTCCAAACTCGAGGCCTCAGAACTCGCTCCAATGGATTCGTCGGCCTCTGTTTCTTCAGGACGAGGATTCCTGGACTGCCGAGGGCTTGCCTCCAACATACCCGGTAGGGATGCCATCATCAGTTCGGGTGTCGCCAAAGCATCCATTCCGCCATCCAGGGACACAGCAGGACTGCCCATGCCTTCCGTGTCACTCGATTCAGCACCGGTCGATGCCTCCACTTCGTCTATCGGAACGTCTATCGGAAATGGTAGTTCCGACGGTTGCGGTTCGAAAGAAGCGTCCAGACTGCTTCCCCCACCAGGCATGAAGTCTTGTGACACCCTCGGTTCCTTCGATGGTCGCCGACTTGCCTCCATTCCTGGAGTCCCCTCCCCAATGACTTCTTCTCTGTCTCCATCAGATTCTGGTCTTCCATTTCCGCTGGCCCTTGCAACTGAAGGCGAAACCACCACAACTGAACCTCGCGATGCCTCGGCGAGCGCACTTGCCCCCATTTCAAACGCAGAGCTTTCTGCATTCATGGAAGCCGACAGTGATATCGGACTCTCTTCTGCTAGTAACGATGGCATGGGCGATGGCATGGAAGATGCCACAGGCTCGAACACCCCCCCTGAAATCACCTCAGTTGAAGATGGAAACTCTTCAGAAGCAGCCGTTGTTGGTGTCGTCGAAACGGACAGAGTCGGAAGCACCGATGCTTCTACTACCGTTGAAGGTTCTGCTGAAACGATCACACCTCCACTCGGGACATTTTCCACCCCCGTCTCAACAGGCGCAGTAACAATCGGCGAAACCACTTGGGCTGTCCGAGATGGCATAGCAGAAGTGGATGAAACTGGAAGCCTGGATGGCGCGGGTTCCAAGAGCGATTCTGCAGACGGTGCTACACTCATGTCCACCGTTTCCGTATCCAATTCAACAGAGGTGGCGGGAGGTTGCACTGCCGATGATGACGATGACCCAAGCGGCGATGGCGTAGCGGAAATAAAGATCACGGGCAACGCCGTGGGCATCAGTTCCCCAGGCAACAACTGTGACGGGGCTGGGCCTTCATCCGACGTCTCAGGTTCTATTCCAGAAGCGGGAATCGCAGCCGGAGAAATCAGCTGCACGGAGCGGGACGGTGTGGCCGAGATGAGGGGCACCAACACACTTCCCGAAGACGCTGCACTCACGGAAGGACCCGTAGCAGTAGGCGACGGCGTACTCGAGATCAATGGCACGAAGATGCTCCCCGTCACCTGCGGGCTCACAGATACCTGCGAGCCAGGAGATGTCGATGGAGTGGCGGAAATCAGAGGCAGCAGAATACTGCCCGAAGCTTGAGGACTGACAGACAAACCAAACGCCGGAGAGACCGACGGCGTCTCTGAAGTAACCGGCAACAGAACACTTGCACTTGCCACCGCGCTTGCTGACGGCGAGCTGGCACCTGAGCTGATGGAGGCACTACCAATCGGCACCTGACTCGCGCTGATAGATGCAGGAGCACTCACACTTGGTACAGTGCTCTCACTTGGACTCGGCAGTGAAGGTGTAACGCTAGGTGACAGCGCGGAATCATCACATACTAGAGGGTCTGCATCGACTCCGTCATTAATGACGCCTCCGATGTCGACACGTTGACTTGACAGGACCTGTACTACGTTGGCGCGATCCTCGGACACAGTGCTAGCGGCGTCCGATTTTCTCACGTCCACAAAATCTCCAGATTCCTTGTTCAACACCCATACAAAAATGTCCGTCAGCCCATTGTCCGACTCGGCTTCGACCTGGAACGTTTGCGACGTCTGTGAGTCAACAACTTCAAAGCTAGAATCGAAGGCTCCGACGACGATGAGATGCATGGACACAGGATCAATGGTGATGTCATTTCCCGACTGGCTGCTGCCGGTGCTGCCTAGTTGACGGACCCAGGTGGCAGCAGTTGGGGACGTGTTCAAATCATCATACCTGATGACGTAGGCGTGGAGCTCCGAGCTGACCATCCCGACGAGATCAGTATTCCCAAGGATGTTCGTTGAGCTCGAACCGACAACAAAAAACGAGCCTGTGGCATCAGAAGTAAAGCCGCTCGTCTGGAAGCTGCCAAACACATTACCCCATTCGGCCTGGGCCGTGACTGCTTTGGTGGACAAGTCGTACCGCCAAAGGATACCCCTGCCCAGAATATGCCCCACGGCGACAATCGAGTCTGTGGCCGAATCGTGAGCAAAATCCAGCAACTTGGGACCTCCGGTAACACTTAAGAGCTCAGTCGTAGTCACGGCGATCGAGTGGATGGCATCAATAACGAGAGTAGAGGGGTTGACCTCCAACAACCGTGTCTCAAAAACAGCGGTTTGGTCGAGATTGGTGACCGACCCTAGGACAGCGACAAGAAGCGTCCCATCTGACTTTTGCGCAAGCGACGTAGCGACATTGTCAAAGCCTTCCGGTTCATCGTACTGTGCCTGACGGATGACCGAACCGTCAGTAGGGCTGTATACAAGGACGGCAGCATCGAGATTAGGGAGCTCCTGTGCCGGAAACTCGAAATTGCCCCTGGTGGAACCAACAGCATAAATGTTAGATTCGGTGCCCATAATGACGTCGTACAAGATCTCTTCATTGCGATCGTTATCATCGTCGCCTGTGGTGGATCCAGCCGAGCTTTTCCAGGCGAAGCCGCACAAACTGTCCCTCTTCCCAATGTAGAAATTGGAGCCCTGATTTCCCACATAGTACGAGTTTTCATCGTTATCCTTGGTGACGGCAAAGACCTCCGTAAAGGCGTGGGTCTGCGTCATGAAGAGTATGAAGAGCAGAGCCAAGGCGACCAAGCATCGAGCGTTCATGAAGGAGTTCATGTTGTCGAAGAGCGATGTGAGTGTTTCACAAACGTAAAGAGAAAGGAAGGCAGGCGGTAAACGTGAAAACGAGAAAGCAAGGGTAGAAAGCGATTATCGGAAGCAAAACGGGGCAAGCCAGAAATCCGGGATCGCGTTGGCGGCCATGGTGAATGGTATTTAAGTGAATGCAGGGAAGCGAGCTGCCAGTGTGTGTTGTTTTGCCGGTGTTAGGAATGTCAGCGCAATTGAATCGGGGCCCACGTCGGGCAGCGGGCGAGCGAATCGAGGGGAAAGAAGTGCGTGAAAGGGACAGAAGGCGGGGGGCGAGGCAGGGGGCGAGGCAGGGGGCGAGGTGGGGGGCGAAGGCGGGGCATTGTCAGCAAGCGGGGAGCGGAGGTGAAGCGCAGGGACGAATTGGAAGACGGAGGGGCACGGTCGAGAAAGTGCGGCGGGCGGCGATTGATGAAGATGATGCGGTAGGGGCCGAGAATCTGGGGGTGTGGGAGATCGACGGCCTCGCTGACACCGCCAATTGTTGTTGCTCAATGTCGGTTGACGGATGAAGCGGCGCAGTGGGCAGCCCCCTATTGGTGCGTTGTGCGAGCATGCAAATATCTTAAACAGCTTTCCGAGTAGCTCCAAGAAAAAAACCCCTCCACCCTTTTCTCTTTTTTTTTTCACCCACTCCCCCTTCCACCCTGCGCAAGCCACAAACGACAGTAAGCTGCGGCGTGAAAACAAACCCCATCTCCCCTGCCCTCCACTCCACGGCTGGAGCCACCCCCCAAAACCCCGGATCGCTTGGCATCGAACCCCCGCGATACACCTCAACACAACCACCAACTGACTGACAGCCCCCGAGCCATGAAACACCAACAACTAAACCGGAAACATCCATATACGCTACCGCTTTACCCTCATCGCAAACTCCTTCTTCCTTCCTACGACATCCGTCTCTACAGCCGAGTGATCTTCACCCACCTCGAAATACCGCTCCCGCCCCTCGTATCGAAACCTCACCTTCCCATCCTCCCCTCCGTGCATTTCAAACCCATTCTCATCCCCCTCATGCGGATGAAGCGCCATCCAGAACGCCTCCTTCCTCCCGCCACTCCGCTTCACAATCACCCGCCTATGTCCCCCAAATCTCTCCACCCGGTACCCTAGCCCGCCTCCCATAGTCCTCACGTGCACGTCCACCTGCTCTGCGCCCTTTGCCTTTAGCACCACCTTGCACCTATTCGCCGAGCATCTCGACTGCCCCTCCTCTACCCTTACTTCGTCGTGTAAGATCAGGTAGGATTCAAACGTATGTTTTCCGCTCTCTATCTCCACCGTATCCACCACCACCCCAAACCCCACTTCATTCTTCTCCGACCGCACCATCATCGTAGACCGCACCATGTAACTTAGCAACTGTTCGCGGTAGTTTCTTTTCCATTGGTGTATCCCTGCAAACGCCAGGTCAGGATAACCGTTGAGCGACATCTTTCTCGAGAACCCGAGCTCCGCCGCGTCGTCTTCCATCGGCCACCCGAGGTCCCAAGGGCTGTTGTTTTCAGCGTCGAAAAACTTGTACTCCACCTTCCTCTCGTTCCCTTCGCCATCGTACTCCACCGTTTCCCCGGTCCCGGGTCCGTTGGGTCCTTGCCATCCGCGTGCCCACTGGACGTTGGAGGCGTAAGTTACGTCGGCCGCCGCGATGAATACCTCCTCATCTTCATCTGCCTTGATGATCGTCACGCTGGGAGCTTTTTCGGCCTGCGATAGACCGTCGACATGCATGAGGCTGTGCTTTCTCGAGTCCACGTTCTCCTTCCATGGAAGGTCGTCTAGCCATCTTCTCTTGAGTGCTGAAAAAGTGATCACTCCTCGGTCCGCATTGTCATGCCCCAGCAAGAACGAGTCTGGCCGCGCATCGAGATGAAAGTACGACGCACGCTGCGAGTAGCTCCCACGACCAATGATCAGACCCCTTCGCGCCGACACATACGCCAACGGAAAGTCCTTCTTCACCTCTGCGGGGAGCGTTTCGGGCGAGTCCGGCACGGCGTTGCGCCCGTCCAAATGCTCGTCCCCGAAGATGACAAGTTGGGTCATCGTCTGCGTCCAGTAGATGCGGCATTCATTGTTCCGGAACTCCCGCCCAAACCGCTGTGCCCAAACCATGCGCGGCAGCGGGCCGTCCGGGTATGCGTACCGGAACAATCCTACAAACGCGGGGTATCCCAACCCGCCCCCGCTTGAGTGCCCCACCAGCTCGCCGCACTGCCACGGCTCGAACATTTGCGCGGCGTGGTGAATCGTGTTGCGAAATCGACTCATGGCAAGCACGCCACTCCCCCTCTTATGTGTCGCCAGTAAGCCAAGCGAGCCTTCCCGGAAGGCTGTAAAGTAGGTGTATCCATCCTCAAACGTGCTACCGTCCGGATTGATCGTGTGAACCATGAAGGCCTTGGCCATTGCCTCAAACTTGGTGCTCAAGTCCTCATTAAACCCGCGCTCCCCATTCTCGTTGAGCACGTTCTTGACGTATGGCAAAAATCCCGTCTCCCCCTCAATCGCGAGGTTTGTCATGTACAAGTTAGAGTGGTACAGCGCCCAGTTGCCATAGATGCGATGGGGATGTGTCTCCGCATTCGGATTGCTCCGACTCGTGACCTCTGCCGTCCCCCACACAAATCTCCTCATCACCAAAAGCGCGAGAGCAGACCTCACAGTGGTGCGCTCCCCCTCCTTCATGTGGGGATACAAGACGTCATAAGTTAACGCCAGCGAGAAGCCGCTCGTGAACCAGTCGTTACTCACATCCCACTTCCTGCTGAAGTCCCACAGATACGCCAGGCCCGTACCCCCGCACCCATCCTCGCAGCTCAGTATCCGGTGGGCAATAAGCACCTTGGCCCACCCCACTGCGGCATTAACGCATGTTCGCGTCGCGTTGGGCGACAGAAACGGCTCCTCCAGCTTGTCGGACACGGCTGCCCAGAAGGAGCAGAGGAAGAGGGCATGCGACGTGGCCTCATTGGCCATCTTGATGTTCGCCGCGACGCCCTCCAAGGTGGCGATCTCGTGCGCACTGAGGTCGGCGCGGCTCTTCGAGCCGACGTCGCCCAGCTCGGCGGCGTTTTCGAGGGCGGCGAGACGAACGACGAACGGGCTCGCCGGGCCCATGCTCTCGGTGAGCGTGAGAAGGCTGTCCGACCAGGAGGCGTTGCGGCGGAAGTTGGCTACGTGCTTGTCCACGAGCGCGGCCCATTCGGAGGCGGAGACGACGACGCGGGGGTGTGCGTAGGGCGCGCGTTCGGCGGACGTGAATGGGCGGATGGCGAGGGGACCGAAGAGGGAGGCGGGCAAGGGGGAGGCGGCGGTGTAGTGGGCCGCGTGTAGGGAGGAGAGACGGAAACGGGAGGGGCGCGGGGAGAAGGCGGGCGGGCGCGAGAGAGGGAGGGCGGAGAGGGGGACGAGGAGGGAGAGGAAGAAAGTAGTGGAGAGGATGTTGCGTGCGTGCATGGCTGTCGTGTGTGTGTTCGTGCGCGTGGTTGGTGTCTTTGTGGCGGGAGAAGCAGCAAGGGGCCAGGTGGGCTGGTGTTAAGAAGGGCGGCGGCATGGTTGGGGAGGGTGGGGGGAGGGGGAGGGGGAACAGGAGATTGGTTGATGCCGCTTTGGTGGGATGCAGGAAGCGGGTTGAGAGGGGTATCGGTGGGGCGCGACGGGACGTTGGGACGTTGGGACGTTGGGAGGGATGGATAGAAAGGAGGAAGGGGAAAGCGAAGGGTTGTTTCCTGAGCTCAAGAAAAGGGTGGTAGGACACGTGGAGCGGTCGCAGCGTTGGGCCTCCTTTAAGACAGCATGGACGGGCAGATGGTGCGCCACGGCGATACATGTTTGGAAACATCCAGTGGATGGATGGGTGCGAATAGGCCGTGTCATACGTCATACGTCGTGCATATAGTTGCGCTTACAGTGTCAGATCGTAACACGTTATAACGTGTACAACGTGTATAAATAGGCGACGTGGACACGTGGATAGGCTAAGCGAGCGCGTGTGTGTTGTGGTCTGACGGAATGGTGTGATGGCCGACTTCGACCACGAGACTGTCTGACCGCAGACTTGGGAGCAAGCTGTTACATTGCGTCTCCAAGCTCAAAGACGTGTCCACGACGGAGAAGAAACGCTAGCAGCAGGTGTGAACGATGCGTGGAGTGCAGCGACACCAATGCATAGCACGAAAGTAGCGAGCGTCGCGTCGAAGCACACACGGAGCGGAAGGACGCCGCGGATGCATGCGGGCACAGCCACAGCCGGCCCACCACGCATGGTCGACGCTCGCCGTCGCGCCCCGCTGCCTCCGCGGTGGCTCGGGCGAGAACGCGGGCCGCGGGGTACTGTAGTCTGGTGGCACGGTTGTCGCGTGGCACGGTTGTCGCGTGGCACGGTTGTCGGGTCCCTGCGGCGGCGGCGGCACGGCAGCGGCGATGGCAGGCGGCACCAGGCGTGTGCGTGGGTGGGTGCGGCACAAGGCGCTGAGCGAAGGCAGGCGGCAGGCTCTCCTGCCGTCGACGGGGCCTTGTCCCGGCGGCAGCAAGGACGGAACGGCAGGGGGGGAGAGAAGACGGGAGCGATAGGTGCAGGGGCGGTGCGGCGCGCAGTAAGGCTAGAAAGGATGACGTGGCCGTCGTATCTTCGTGGCTAAGTCCACATCCTCACTCGCATCACACGTAGAAATTCCCGTCATATACGCCTCTTTTCTTCCCCATACATGCATAAACATACCACCGCCCTGCCTTCTCTCCCACCGTCCGCACCCCACCCTGCCGCACCCCACCCTGCCGCTCCCCACCCGAACCCCCTGTACCTCTCTCTCACCATGGCCTTCATCGCCCCCCTCCCCGCCCGCCTCTCTGCCACGCCGTCGCGGCGCACGCTGTCTTCGCGCCGCCCGGCCATCCGTGCGCCGCCCTCGCGCGCCGTGCGCATGACCGCCACGAAGCTCACGCAGTTCGACTCTCTGTGCGCCATCACCACCATCGTGGAGGACACGGGCGAGATCGACAAGATCCGTGCCCACCGCCCGCAGAGTGCCACCACCAACCCGTCGCTGGTGGCGGCTGCCGCCACGCAGCCGGAGTACGCCGCGCTGGTCGAGGAGGCCGTGCGCTACGGCCGCGAGTCCGGACTCAAGGGCCCCGACCGCCTCGCCCTCGTGCGCGATAAGCTCTTCACGCTCTTCGGCGCCGAGATCCTCAAGTACGTGCCCGGCGACGTGTCCACCGAGGTCGACGCCCGCCTCTCGTTCGACGCAGATGCCCAGGTCGAGACCGCGCTCCGCATCATCAAGATGTACGAGGAGGTCGGCGTGGACAAGGATCGCGTCCTCATCAAGCTCGCCACTACCTGGGAGGGCATCGAGGCGTGCAGGGAGCTCCAAAAGAGAGGCATTAAGTGCAACATGACCCTGCTGTTCTCGCTCGCGCAGGCTGTGGCCGCCGCTGATGCAGGTGCTTACTTGATCTCGCCCTTTGTCGGCAGGATTCTGGACTGGTATAAAAAGGAAGAGGGTGTTGATGGATACCCTGCCGAGGCGGATCCGGGTGTCATCTCGGTCCGCCAGATCTATGACTACTACAAGTGCATGGGACACGACACCATTGTCATGGGTGCTAGCTTTAGGAACAAGGGCGAGATTCTCGCGCTTGCCGGCTGCGATCGACTCACCATAGCGCCCAAGTTCATCGAGGATATGAAGGACACCGACGAGGTCGTCGAGAGGAAGCTCTCCCCGCCGGGTGGGGAGACCTGCAAGCCCATGGAGAGGATCCAAATGGACGAGAAGGTCTTTAGATGGATGATGAATCAAGATGCCATGGCTACTGAGAAGCTCGCCCATGGAATCCGAGGCTTTGCCGCCGATTTGGATAAGCTTGAGGCCAAGCTTACCAGTATGCTCGACATGTAAACCGCCTGACAATATGCAAAGGAAAGGAGAGAGAACGTCTGCCGCAATAAATATCGTGTAACTCTGCCAGCCTCCCCCTCCCCCTCCCCCTCCCATTCCCTTCCCTTCCCTCCCTTACACCCTTGCCCTACCAGACAACAAAACTCGCCACAATCAGTGGCTTCCGTCATGCCTCGGCGTCCTTCCGCCCAACATCTCTTGGCGTCCCCGATCCCACGCCGTCCAACCTAGGAATCGGGCTCTCTGCCCCCCGATACCTAGCGTACAACACCGCCGCTCTCGCCACCATAAGCACATTCAAGCCCCCCCAAATCGCCACGACCCCTCCGCCCCACACTCTCACCGCTGTCAGCGCAATGCAACACATAAAAGATGCCAGCGCGATCGCGCCTGCCATATATCGATAATCACTGCACGCCGTCAACACGCCGTCCAATGCGAACACAAACCCATTGAGCGGGGCGCAAATGGCCGCGATGCGGATGCAATCCGTAGCCAGCACGCGCACATGCTCGTCCGTCGTGAACAGAGCCGGCAACCCTGTCCCTGCAGCGACGGCAGCGATGCCGATCACGGCGCCCGCGAAGGTGCCCAACTGCAAGCAGCGGTTGGCGATTCTGCGCGCGCGACGCACAGCGCCCGTGGCCATGGCGGAGGCGACGAGGGCCTGCGCGGCGGCGGCAAACGAGTCGAGCACGGTGGCCTTGAAGATCCAGAGCTGGCGGCACAGCTCGTAGGCGGCGAGCGCGGCGACGCCCTTAGTGGCAGCGGTAGCGGTGGCGTACGTGATAGCGCCGAGGAGGGAGAGGGTGCGGATGGTGAGCATGGCGCCCGCGCCGAGCATAGGCTTGAGCTCCTCGACGCGCGGCAGGCGGACGAGGTCGGCGGGGCGCAGACGTCCGCGGCGAACGAGGGCGGCCAGCATGGCGAGGACGGCGACAACCTGCGAGGCGGACGTGGCGTAGGCGGCGCCGGCGACGCCCAGGCCGACGTAGAAGATGAGGAGGATGTCGAGGAGGACGTTGAGGAAGTTGGCCAGGGCGGCGACGAAGAAGGGGGTGCGCAGGTCACGGAAGCCGCGCAGGGCGCCGTTGGCGACGAGGGACATGAGGGCAAAGGGGGAGGCGATAGAGCGGGCGCGGAGGTAGGCGACGGCAGACGGTAGGGCGTCCGGCGTGGCGCCAAGGGCGAGGCAGAGAGGTTCCGCAGAGAGGAAGAGGGTTAGGCCGGACATGAGGCCCAGGGCGAGGGCGAGGAGCAAACCCGCGGAGATTACGCGGGAGGCGGCATCGGAGTTGGGGGAAGTGGCCGTGGCGCGGGCGACCAGGGGCGTCATGGAGACACAGAGAAAGTTGAAGATGGAGAAGGAGATGTTGAGCACGATGGTGGAGAGGCCAACGCCAGCGATGGCGGAGACGCCGAGGCGACCGACGAAGGCGGTGTCGATGAGGGAGAGAAGGGGGTCGAGGGCGAGGGCGCCGAGCGCGGGGAGGGCGAGGGCGAAGATGTCGCGGTCGAGCGACTGGGGGGAAGCATCTGCATTGTCGGGGGGGGGATGGGTGAGACGGGCGGAGGGAAAGGGGAGTCGCGGACGGGGGGGACGACGGACGGTCAGACGTGGGTGCGAGGAGCGGAGGAGGAGGGGTGCCGGCGGAAGGAAGAGGAGCATGACGGGGGAGAAAGGGGAGATGGGGGGCGGAGATGAGGTCGTGAGAGAACGGCGCCTTGCGTCTGATATGTGGTCCAATAACACAATTTTACGGTACAACACGAAACGTACTTCTCGCAAAACGCCTCCGAGTATCCTGCTTCATACAGGGTACACCGTCCCTGTCCTCCGAAACCTCGTAACGTCGCC